AGTGGTTCAAAACCCGAGTCTGAAGCGTGGTCGTGGAAATTCAAGTCCAAGAGCAGGTAGGAGGAGCATTGGGAACTCAGGTTCACGGGAGAAGCCACATTCAAGTCGAAGAGCAGGCAGGAGGAATTTTGAGAAATCAGGTTCAGAGGAGAAGCCACGATCAAAGCGCAACAAGATCAACCTAATGACAGAGAAAAGGAGTCAGATGTAGTAAATACTGAAATCAATCTTTATCGATGTCTGCATTTTCAGCTGGTCCGTTCCTTCTCCTGTGTAATATCTCACTATATGGCTTATCTTTTTCATTCTTTTTTACTTCTCAAGAGAACAAACCAAGTTTTGTTTAATAGTTATAATTCCATGGTTAGATCTTTTCCAGGTGATTTAACAGGCTCGTATTCGCGATATGAAGTAGTTTAATTGCTAGTAAGGAACATTAGCAGTACTGAATCTCAGGCATTTACAAATATCTCTTGTTGCAGAGCTCAAGTCTCTATCCTCAACAAGATATCTTCAAGAATTCAGGACATGGACAAGTTAAGAAGGAATTACGATGAGCTGTGAAACGGAACAGACGGAGGAACCTGCATCCAATGAAGATTGGACAACAAACATATCACAATGTCAGAACTAAGAAGCAGTTTTCGGGTAAACTAACCACTGGATAGTCAATTGAGCTATAAGCAATTGAAAGAAAAGAATCAGAGAATCATTAAGATTTAAGAGTTACTTTAACTGTAACATTTTACTGGTAGTGGCCCATGTAATTTACCTTCTCTACCATTTTTCTAGCTTCGAATTAAGATTTAACAAATGGGTTTCAGTCATGTTTTTTTTTTTTTTTTGTCACAATGTCAAATAAAAGTCCCAATCTCTGAAATTCTACTGTTATTGGTCATGTGTTATTCACATAGTTCCAAGATTGATCTAAATTTTTAGCCAATGACATTCGGTTTACAACAATTGGATAGGATTGGTGTGACATGGTTCTTCTAATTTAATGGTCGAGGCTTGAAGTGCCCGACAAAAAGCAGTCTTTTGTATGGGGCTAAAATATGGCCATGGCATGTCCCAAAGTTTTTTTGGGGAACACCTGTGACTGTGTCGGATTTTGAATCATTGTGTTTTTCAAAATTTAAAATGTCTTACTACGATTTCCTCATCATCGTTTTGGCCAAACTTAAACATAATATAACAAATAAATATTTAAAAAAAAAAAATCATTTTGTTTGGTTATGAAAACCATAATATAAATAGGGGTGGGCGTTTCGGTTTTCGGTTACGG